ATAAAAAATTGAAATTATTTTTCCTGATTGTAGTATTACAGAGTCTATATATAGTGTATATGTAAATAACAATACAGTACTCAGGAAAATGATAAATTAAAAATGATGGTTATTGAATTTGTGTATTGCATTTGGAAAGAAAGCATCTCTGTGTTAACCTTTACAGCTGTCATTCTGCCAAACCTAGTGTAAGTAATATGCTTATTTAATGGATGAGTTTGTCTTCTTTCCTGTCAGCTTTGCTTCTTCACTTTGTTGAGAGTAATGAATCCAAGATTTAAAAATAGAGAGGAATGGCATAGGATTACAGTTTTTCATTATTAATTGTTTTAGGCTGTAATGCATACTTGGAACCTATGCCATTTTTTGCATTATAACTATTGTTCAGGTTTAGGGAAGGCTAAAATTATATTTAGTCAAAACACATGTGCAACTGTTTTTACTCCCCACCCAACATATATGTAAATTTCTTTGATCATATACTTTTTTTTTTATAATGGTTCTTGGGTGCCACCACTGGCGTCATGTACAAGCAACTAATACATAAACAAATTATGGAAAAAATATTATAGACCAAAAAACATGCTAGACACATAATTAAAGTCTACACAACAAGAAAAACAAAAAAGGCAGTGGCTATTGTTACACCAGTCTTAATAATAGGGCCACTCTTACTGCACATTTCGCACAGGAAAGCCTCAGTGCGCTTTACAACAGCAACAACAAAAAAATGCAGTAAACAGTTTTAACCTTTAATTAAAACTAAAAACAGTTCCGATATACATGTGTTATTGTATGTATGGATTAGGACAATAATATCCAATCAGAATTGGAATTTGGTTTATGACTGTAATAACCACTGCAAACAAAAAATGAATGTACATGAAAATAATATTTTCATGTACCATCTACAAGACTACTAAACTTAGCCTACATTGAATGAAAAAATAATTTATTGGCTAGTTATGACTTGCATTATGGTATTAAAGTATAAATAAATTAAATTAGATTTGCATGTATACATTCAATGAAGTACAATTAATATGGCCATACTGTATATTCTGGCTTAACATAGAAACTGTGGGTGGAATAATTGTTCACTAAATTACTGAGCTGACCTTGGTTTCTTAATTACGCCTTATTGTCACGTGGTGTGTTGGATTGAATGTAGCACAAAATTACATTAAAAATGATATTTCCTCATATCTACAGTAAGTCTGTAATAAGTAATGTAGCACTACATACAAACTTGTAGTTAGAGTGCTTGGCTTCTAATACCAGGGATCTGTGTCGAAGTCCTGCAAATAATAATACTGTTATAGGAATTTATGCACATTTTCCCTAGGATTCAAGGTTTTGAAAAACACTGATGTTAAGGCCAACTCAGACAGCGTCGGCCGACGCAGCCCAACGCGATTTGTTGTCGTGTCGGGTGTGTGTGAGTTGAACGCAGACGCGATGGTGTGCTTAAGACTGTCCCCGACGATAAATCGGGTCGGGCTGCGTCGGTCGACGCTGTCTGAGTTGGTCTTTAGAGTTAGAGGGGTAAAAGGTGATATAGTGAATTCATTTCAGTTTTTGCATGTAAACAGGTCGCTAGAATATCTGTGTGTTAGCAACAAGGCTGTGAATAAAATATTTATCGTGTTTGAAAGTTTCATCTCTTAGGGCAAAATTGACATGACGTGATTGTAAATGCATCTGTAAGAGACGACTCAGCTTCATAGCACTTGATTGACCAGTTTTAATACATGCATTCTCATAGAAGCTCTGAAATGACTTGAGATAGAGAAAAATATTTATTGGTCATATAAACAAAAACAAAAATCAGGTCATAGACTATTTAAGGGGCATATGCACAAAAGAACATTGACACATGATGTGGTCATGTGCAAAATTTGAATGATGGTCTTTAAGAATATTCTATTGAGAGAAGCTATAACATAGCACTTTAATCACTGAGCGAGGGAGGCAGCTAAGCTGAATTCTGTGTTGTGCTATAAATAAGCCTAAGCTTTTTACATTTACTTGTGTGTAATTTAATGCGGGAAAGAAGATAATAGCTTTTGGCCCAATTAACAAATAGAGAGGTGAACGTATCACTGAATTATGGATTTGTCATCCGCTGTAATCACTGTAATAAAGTAATGTATAAAAATATCAAACAGTAGTTATGGTGAAATGTATAAACTTCATTTTGTTATTACTGTGTCGCAGTGGTTAAAGGGGTTATGCCAGAGTAGTAACAGGTCACAACATGTTAGGATTGGAAATATTGTATCAGACAAAGCAGTAGTTGTCATGGGAGTACCACAAGGATGCATACTTTCGCCCTTTCTGTTCTTCATCAGATGCTAATGATTTAGTAGTATATAATGCAGACTGTTACATGGTTAAATTTGCTGACAATACTACAAATGCAGGACTTACAAAGTATGATATGAGATACAATATTGAACAGGTTGATAAAATAATACGCTGGTGTAACGAAAATAAACTAATATTAAATGTTAATAAAACAAAAGAACTTATCATTAATTTTAGGAAAACAAATAACATCCTGTTGTATATAAGTCACTCTCAAGTAGAAATTGTAGATAATTTTAAGTTCCTTTACTTTTTTAGTAGACTTCTTCTGGATGTAACCCTTTCATCATTTCACTTTTACGTCATTGAAGTATACTTACTTTTCCTATTATTTTATGGTTTAGTAGAGCAATGACAATGCCACAGACCAGGGGTCTGACAAAATGTATCCAAGTCTGGCAATCCATAACTTAAGCACTTTTATCCTTACCAAATGTAACAAATAAACAATGAAATTCTGGTGTTGATATCAATTTGAGTGAAAGCCATTAATCCTTGGTGATTGTGTAAAATATCCAGAAACCCATTGCTTGTCTTATTATAAGAATTTTACAGATCAGAAGAGGTTAAATACTACACGACAGTCAGTCATAGAGTAGAGACCTCATTTTAAACATGTCTAATTACAAAAATTACATAGTTTAATAGTGTAACTGATGATTAACCTTGCTGTTGAATGTGAAAGTAAAAAACGTGTCTCAGCCTAAAATTTGCAGTACAAGGAGAAAAAATTGTTGATTAGGCAAGACTTTTTATTTTTATTCCGCCCTCCTCCGATGATCTTTAAAAAAATTAAGCCTTAGGATGCTTGTGTAGGGTCCTGAGTTGAAATTCCACAATGTTTTTATACTGTAGTAATAACTGAGTTGATTGGAGTGAATCTTTAGCTTGTTGATTAAGATGCTTGCCTTTTTATGTGAAAGACCTGGGTTCGAATCATGCATTGTTGTTGACGTGAGCTGTAGCTTGGTCGATTAAGATGCTTGCCTTTCAATCACAAGGTCCTGGGTTTAAATCCTGTTATTTTCGAAGTGGGTTTGGATCTTGGTTGTTTAGATTCATTCCTTTTAATGATAGAGTCATGTATTCAAATCCATCATACTGTATGTTTCATCTTGAACACTCATTGTTATATTGGAGCATGGAGAAATAGGAAGGTTAACCAGAATTGTAGCATTTAACCTTGGTATTTGAAAAGCCCTTCTTTTTGTTCAGAATCAAATCTTGATCTTCTTAACTAATAAAACTACTCTCATGCCTGATCATGCGATTTGTAAATTTATGCTACATTAGGTTTACTGACTTTACAAATCACCACAGTTTAATTCTACCGAGTGAACATGATCAGATCTTAATAAAATATGTAAAATATAAATGATTGAGTATAACTTGATTTTGATTGATGTTGAATGCAGGACTCGACAAGCCAAGGGCCACAGAGCATATCACGCAGTCAAGCCAAGCAAGCAAAACGTGCTGCAGAAGCCGAGCGAAGAAAACAAGAGGTAGAGCGGAAAAGAAAAGAACGCGACGAGGCTAAGAGGAAATCCTTAGAAGAAGCAGAAAGACGTGAGCAATTAAAGAGAGAGTTTGAGGAAGAAAGAAGGAGAAAAGAAGAAGAAATAAGGTACATATATCATTTATCAAAAAATATATATTATGTTTGTTTTTTGGTTTTTTCATACAGTGTGATTAATAATAGCTTATTGTAATACAAAATATACTTATGGGAAAAGTTCGAGAATACTGTATATTCATAAAATATTTGTAATAAAAAAAATTAATAATGCTCATTTTACTATCATATTTTGCTTATAAGAAAACATGGATATCTTTATTTTTGACATTTTTTTGTTTTTACCATCCTCATCATCATCGTCATCAGTGTAATCAAAAAACTTAATTATATTTTTTTGGATATCATCCTTATTTATTTTTGTTGAGATAGTATAGTCTCTCAAATATGAAATTATTTTTATGACCTTTACAAAATTTAATATGCATAAAATGACACAGTCTCATATTGCAATTAAATTTGCAAATGCAAGGGATAGACTTTCATATTCTATAAATGCCACTGATTTTAAAGTTACTGTTATGAGTCACCTACATGGCTTTCTTTTGTTTCTCGTTAAATTTCCAAAGGTTTTGAACTATAACGAGTCTGCATTTTTCGTGACAATTGTTTTGGCTATATCGATAATGGAATTGACTTTGTTCATTAACCTCTGTGTACAGTATATCAACCATATCCACTGTTAATGGAGGGTTGTGTGGTTGACATAGCTCATTGAGTGTATATGTTAAAGATCGCCAATCTGGTAGACTGACTGTAGATATTATGCTATTTCATGGCTGCCAGTCGCATTATGTGAACTATTTTTAAACTTACATGGATGAATTATTTAATTGTGAGCCTACAAAAAAGTGTTGAATATAATTGCCATAAGTGCATGTGATGTAGAGGTTATGCCAGGTGGGTCAACTCTGGCAAGCCAGTTGTCTTAAAACATTCAACCTGTGCAGTCTGTCCAAATTTAATATAAGGCTTAAAACTCAACTTTCCACAGCTGTTATTTTTTTTGTTCTTGTACATGCTTTGGTGTGTTTTTCCTTTTTTTTTCATCCTTTACTTTTTGTTCAGACACTTGCAAAGGCACAGAGACTATGTATTATGTGTTTTACAAATGCCAAGACATTGTTACCTGGTAAGGTACGAATCTTCTCTTGACTGCATTCATTCTGTGCTGAATTACATGTAACTTAACTACTTCTCTGTGAGTTGAGGCAATTAGGAAAATTACATCTCTCCTTAAGGTCATTTCATGAAAGTACTTTCTTTGTTTTGCATAGTACATTTATAGAGTACTATACTTAAATTCCAATTTTTTCCTTCCTGTATTGGCAGACAACGCAGAGAACGTGAAATAGAGGAAAAGAGGAAGAAAGAAGAAGCTGCACTCGAAAAGAAGAGACAAGCAGAGCTAGCGCTGGAGAGAGAAAGAAAACAAAGAGAAGAGCGTCAGAGAAAAATGAATGAAATGGCGAGGAAAAAGAGAGAGGAAGAACTCAGAAAGAAGGGTAGGATTATAAGGAAATATATGTACATAAGTGTTCACATAGTTTGTATTAAGAATTGAAATTATGTTAGTAGCATTCTTGTCTAAGCATGTGTAAGCTCAAAAGGAATGGCTGCTATGAAATAATTTGTTAACCTCCTGAATCATATTAACAGACACAATATACATAAATAATTACTGAGGGTAAGAGAGGAGAATCTTACTATAATGATAATGGGTAACTAGACTTTGTATGTTTGTAAAACAGAAGATAAGGTTTTCCCTCATTGCCATAATAATAACTGATGTTAACATTACATGAAAGTAAAAAATAAAAAAAAATAAAAAAAATATTATAACTAAATATAAATGAAAATCAAAAATATAATCATAAAGAAAAATAAACATGGGAATCAACTTGACATCAGTGAGACATTAACTATAGCTGCAAAGGTAATTATGTTAACAGAAAGGTTTTAGAATTTCTGATTCATCATTCAAAATTCGTAAAATAAGTAGGCACATATTTTATATATGTCTTAGCTTTCACGAAGTTTGAAGAAGATCCAAGCAAAGAAAGTGATGGACAGAAAAACCCTGTGCAAAAACAGGAAAAGAGGATAGAAATAAAAATCAGAAGAAAAAACTTTTCTGCTCCTACAGAAAAAGCCAATAATGATAGTGATGGTATTAATATTGATATGGTATTAATAATGATAATGGTGGTAATCACGGTAGAGGTAATGATGTTGGTTTTGATGGTGATGATGATTTTGGTATATAAAAATTCAGGTTAAAACTGAATACATTTTGATGAATACAAATTTAAACATTTCTTGATTGAATTTCAAAAATTTTGGTTCCAAAAACAAATTAAATTCATACTTCCAAAATTTGCAGATGATACTTCATTCCTCAGCAATGAAGTGAGTCTGCAACAAGTATTTTGTTGTTAGAATCAAAGCGTTTTAAAATTCAAGCACGGTTTAACTAACACTGATGCATTTTCATGAACATTAACCATTTCTTATTTCTGCAGAGGAAGCAGAAAAGGAGAGAAAAGAAGAGGAAGAAAGAAGAAAAGCTGAAGAGGAGATGTTAGCAGCAATGGCAGAAGAAGAAAGATTAGAATATGAAAAGAGAAAACAAGAGGAGGAACTGTTGCAAAAAGAGCTTGCTGAGAAGGAACGACTACGAAGAGAAGAAGAAGCAAGAATAGCACAGGAGGAAGCTGAAAGATTGATGTTACTAAAGTTAAAAGAACAAAAGGAATTAGAAGCTAGGTTACAATTCAACAGATTACTTCAGTCTGAATCCAACATTATGGCTCACTCACAGGAGATGACTCGAGCATTTACCTTCTCTTACTACGAACTACTTGAAGCTCTGGGAATCGACCCACCAGAATGGTTGAAAAAAGAACTAGAGGAATATACTTAGGTGTCCAAATCTTAATATTTTTCCATGTTACCAACAGTTGAAGCACTGAAGTACATAAATGTATGCTGCGCTTCTTAGGTTAAAAAAAAAAAAAAATATTTGATTTGTTAGATTGTGGTTATGCATTTGTGTCTAAAGCCTCAATCGCACTGGATTTATTTCAGTAAAAGTAACCGTCTTGTCGGTAAGTTTGACCGAAAAAATCCAGTGCGGATAGTCCCGCTCGGTTAACTTGACTGTCGCCGCCGGTTAGTTTTCAGAAGTGAAATTTACTCAGGAATTCCTACCGAGCTACTTTGACCGGCCTGGAAAATCCAATGCGAACAGCCACAGGTCGGTTAAAATTAACCGAATCCCGAGCCTCATTGTTAATTGGGTGACCTTTATCGCTCCGTGAAGCACTGGCGCATGCATATAATTAGTTGACCTGCTTCTTCTCATTGCTTTGGTTTATTGATGTGTACATTTCGATTTTCGTGCAAATTTTATACTACTGTGCTGTATTGATCGTACTAATATCGTACTATTCGACTAGTTGATCACAAACCATTATTTTCTAATGTGTTACTTTCCCTTAAATAGTAAGTATGGCATGGAAGGACATTTCTTGATTTTTTAGGCCTCGCTAGGCCTGAAATATCGGAAGGAGAAATTCTAGGCTCTCATGATGTTGGCGATACAGATCAAGGGATCAGAAGGCTTTAGGTCATGTCAGTACGGGTCATGTTACGGGTCAAAATGTACCGCCCTCAATAGTTAATTTTACACTACTCGGGAAAACTAACCGAGTTGAAAAGTCCAAGTGCGATTGACGGTAACATTTCCCCTAGAAATGTTTACCGTGATGACAGTTACATATTCCCAAAATTTAATCCAGTGCGATTGAGGCTTAAGTGGGAAGATGGATTCTACAAACTCTGCTTTCTGTCCATATTGGTAAAGTGCCTAGATTTGTATAAGCATATTTTATGTGATCCATATTTGCCTGCTATACCAAGCTGTTTATGTGATACATTTGCTATATAAATACTGTGTGTATATCGGTACTGATGCTGTACTATATCGATAATGTGTGTATAGATTTCTAATAGATTTATATTTTATATGATCCATACTTGCTTCATTCTAACTATTTTCATTAGCAATAAGCTTTTATTCTGTTTATAATGTACTGGTAATGTATATGCACTGTATTAATACTGTGTTTACGTACTGTAGTGATTTACAGTATACATAGTGTATCTCTAATGCTTGCATACTGTTTTTATGTGATCCATATTGGCATCATTCCAACTATTTTCACCAGCAATATGCAATGCTGTTTATACTGTACAGGTATGCACTGTATTAATACTGTGTTTATGTACTGTTGTGATACTTTTACAGTATACATAATGTAGCTGTAATGTTTGCATAGTGTTTGTATGTGATCCATATTGGCATCATTCCTACTATTTTTACCAGCAATAAGCATTTATGCTGTTTATAATGTACTTATATTTGCTGTATGAAAACCATGTGTATATAGTGAAGTGATGATGTAATTTATTACTACTGTGTCTATAAAATTTTGTATAGATATATATTTTTATGTCATCCATATTTGCTTCATTCCAACCATTTTATCAGCAATCTGTTATAAATATGGTAATTGTATTCAGATAGTAATATTTTAATAATGTGTGTTACCTAATTAGTAGATCTAAATTTTATGAAAATCATGTACATAATTAAAATATTTCAGATAAATATTTTGGGCTAAAAATGTCTAAAGTATGCAGTTGGTATTCACCTTTATATGATAATTAAAAGAAGATGATTTTTATATTCTGCAGTTTTTACCAGCTACAATCCTTCCATTCCTCCTACACCAAAAAAAAAAAAAAATAGAGAGAGTAAAAGATAAATATCTTACAATGAGCCAGATTCTTTTAAGCAGGTGTATATACTGCATTAAAAGTGTAGCTTAATCACTAAAATAGTCAAAAATTTCATATATATCAGATGTTTAAATACATTTGATTTCAAATCATGTCTGAAATTAAAACTTATTAAAAGCTGTGTAATGTGTTTGCATATCGAGCGTGTCAT